AGACAGGTTTCACAAACCGTTGCATCGTGTGACAGGATCGGGGAATTCGCATCGAGAAGACTAGTCACCAGACTTGACACTTGTAACTTCCACGGCCGCGGGAGAAACGCGCGAGAAACATAGAACTTTGGATCGAAAGAAGGGAAGAATTTGAGTGTTATCATCATCTTGTAAGAGTTAGAATTAAACGACGAAGTTTCCTATCAGAATTTCTTCATGATTAATTCACAACATTTCTGGTTTCTTGTGAGTCAGGTATCATACCATATCCAAAAACAAAATACAGTTATGCGGGAGAGCATTAGGCCCGACGAAAGAATAACTGTGACCTTAAGATTTGATCATTTGATGACCTTGGGTGAAATTGGTTGTTTGTTAAAGGTGTTTTTCTTCGATGTGATTGGTTGTTTGTTCAAGATGTTTCTATAAACGGCTGTTCGCAGGCTAGGTGTTTCGAAACATTGCGAGATAGGTTTAACAAATGGTGTTACACGGTGCAATGCCAGCGAAAGGAGCTTGCAATCGTTTCGAAAAGTTGAATCTTTTCAACTTTTCGCGAAACTTGTCTCGCAACGGAAACTGACACAGGTTCGTGACATGGAAGGGTGTTACACGTTGCAATGTGTCACGAAACCTGTCTCGCAACGCCCAATAGGTTTCCGACAAGCCGTTGGATCGTGTAACAGAAGGTTCACTCTGAGGTTGGACTGGCTTATATCTTTAGGCAGGTTCACATAGCTCATGTGAAATGTACTCACAAGTGTATTGTGAAGATCGATAACTATATTCATGTTCTGCTCGTTTTTACAGATAAACTTAAAATTAATGTGAACTACAGTCAAATAACTGTCGTGCTTTAATTGACCCAAGTACGCGATTTTTGCTGTTTGGTGTAAAAGCGGGAATATTTGAAACGTTGTGCGAAGGCCTCCCATTTTCCAAAATGGGTAATCTAAATGTAAAATGGGTAGTTTTAAAATTTAAAATGGGCAGTTATAAAATTAAGTTTTCGAGCTTTATATGAAAATTAGTTATAAACTAGAGAATACATGCATGCAGAAACTCTCGCCTTTTGACAAAACCATTGTATTTCCGAACATGAAGTATTTAAAGTAGTTGTCATGGTACCACGATATTTTTTTACGAATATTTTTACAAATGAAAAATCCCCTAAACATATCACTTTAATTACAAAATTACCAATTTTCGAAATATATTTTTGTTAGGTATGTTATTATACGTAATATTAGCTTCAATTTAAAGTAAAATTCAACCACAAACGCTTCGCAAAACGTTTTAAAGTGTTCTTTATAAAACTAATTAAACTGCCTTTTGGCTTTATCAATAAACTTTGAGTTTGAAATAAAATGATTTCAAATTCTCGCATGCAAATAAGTTTGCTTTCTTTTTTATTTAAAAAATTTAATATAATAAAAAAGGGTGGTCAATAAAGTATACACTGAAATAATATGCTGTCTTGTTTCGCAGTTTATACGCAACATTTATACGATCGTCTTTTAAAGCAATTATAAAGCAAACAATACATTAATATTTAAAACCAACTTACCTTCGTTAACGTCGGCGCTTTGTTCCCTTCTTTTAGCCAATTCATTCGCCCTTCTTTCTTAAAAAGCTTTTGAAATTCACAAAATCTTGCAAAAATGAAATATATTTGCAAGAAATCATCAAATAAAGAAATATTTGCTATTCCGCTGTCGTCATCCAGTCGTTATAATGCAAATTTTACATTTGACCAATCAGTATTCACTATTCTTGACAGTCCGCCATATTTTTGAGATCAGTGAGGATGACCACCCACCGTTGGTCACCCACGCCCGCGATCATTGATGAACTTTAGCACCCTCGCCCCGGGCTTACGCCCGGAACGGCGCTCCGCGCCGTTGGCTCGGGGATTAAGCACCCGTACAGATATTTAAATTAAGGCAGTAACAAAGCCAAAGCCACTCTGAAAACACAGGAAATGGCCATCATGGACTTCTAAAATTCAAACTTTTCCGGTATCCATGAAATTCACCAGGACTTTGTGCTATTCAGGTATCCATGAAATACACCAGGACTTTGTCTCTCATTACTGCCACACAGTTAGCCTGTATTCACTACCTCACTTGTCGAAATGGTCAGTAAATTTTTCTTAGCATGACCCCTGTTGCGAGGCCTTATATACATGGGTCATATTACATCCGAAATTGACGACTTTGAAGATCTTGATCATGATAATATAACTACAAGATGATGATCATCAGGTCGATCTTCCTCTAGTCATCAACATCTTGGATAAAAAACACATTTTGCTTTAAGAGGCAATTTTTTTCAATGTCACGTATTTGCAATGAAAAGTGTTCAAAACCTAAAATCTTTTTGGGTTTCTTCTTACTTTGTTTTAGCTTTACTCTCTAGTTTATAGAGTTAGCTACCTTTTTAAATGCATCTGCCGGTTGAGAAACATAAAATAATAGTTAAAAATTGTCAATTAAAATACAATTATCAATAATGCTTTAAAATTGACGCCATTACAGCCATATAAGCAAAACGTACTGAACTTCAGACATAATTTTCTCTTTGGCGTATCATCTAAAATCTCTTCATTTTAGCATTATTTCACAGGTAAAGCACTAAACATTTTTTTTAAGTTTGTTTGCCGATTGAGAAACGTATCGAAAAATAAAAACTTTGAATTTAGTCATAACCTCAATTAGTGATATATTATACGCATTAGTTTTGAGCGTGTGTTACGTAAGATACAAAAAATATCCTCTTATTTAATTGAAAACTATTGAATTAAAGTGTTTCAATTAACTTAAGATCAATTATCGTGTTAAATTTAGCTATAGCTAGCCTAAACGAACGATCCTTTGCAAGAGACAAAATACCTTTATTTGGCCACTTACCTGTGTGCAGTTGAGCCCGGTGCATACCTATTAATTTTTATGCGCAGTATATGAATAACATAGACCAGTGATAAATTGCCCCCCAAAAGCGTCGTCAAGTTTAGATTAAGGTATAGTTAGATTAGTGTCAGATTAAGATTAGATGAGGGTCAGACTAAGATTAAATTAAAGTTAGAGTCTGAGTCTCTTTAGGATTCAAATTAAGGAACCATGGATGGTTCCGTATTTCTCAATTTAGAAATCCTGCCTGTTACCCACTGGGATAATGTGACACGGGTGTGTATACCTTATTAGGCAAGAAGGTCGCAAATGTATCGACGACGGCCGTTAGTATAACGACAATCGTAACATTGTAGAAAGGAAATGAATAATTAAAATCTCGTACGAGTATTTATTTAGATGTCGACGTCGTTCTCGTTCTGTTTACAACGGCAAATCACAGATTATCACGTCTTCTATACAACGGCTACAGTTTAAGCTGGCAGAACGGTTATTTCAAATTGGTTCCCAAACTCTTCTCCCCTAAATATTAAAGAGTTTGCATTACATGATCCGAGGCGCTAATTAAAAGTAATAGTTATAGCCAAAATTTAACGAATAACGGTACGTTAACGCAAAACGTACTGAAAAATGTAGTGTCCGGAAATTTTTTTAACAACGTCCACACCCCAAGCCCCCCCCCCCCACCAACCCCCGCTCACCAACAGTTTGGGGAAAAGAAATATTAATTAGCGACTGAAATGTTGACCGCAAATGCGATAACACTCCCCCCTGCTTTATTCTCTTTGCGACGGCACTGTGTTTGGCAGACTATTTTAAGGCCGCCATGGTGGCACATAATTCAACCTTAATGCCAGCGTGTTGTCTTCTTCTTTTGCAAGGTGAACGACAGTATGGATACAATTCCAACAGAAACTTCTGGAAAAATGGAAAACAAAGATAAATCGGTTCGTGAGTGTGTTCTAGAGTTCATGTCTTACACAACAGCACATGGTCTTGGCAGACTGGCAGCGGCGTTGACAACTGCTGGAAAACTATTCTGGTTTATTTCATGTGTTACAACAAGTGTACTCTTTATTTATTTTACCACTGAACATTGGAAAACGTACCTATCACGTCCAGTTCAAACGACTTTGACAGTTAACTATGAAAATGTAATTATATATAGTTTATGCAAGATGGATTTTTCGATCAACTATTATACTGCAAAATCCCCTATATACTTTTCAGCATGCTTATCTTTCTAAGTTAGTCTACTGTAACTTGTAATTTTCGTGTCATATTAGTTTGCAATAATAATGTTTGGCATTGTCAGTATTTCCATGAGTATCCTTTACTTACTTGGGAAAGGTCTCACCTCACCTCTTCCAGGCGACAATCACATCCGCCTCCCAACGGTGAGGCTAGCGTGGTTAAATTAAATAAAGTTTGTATGTATGGTTTGTATGTACCCAAGGGCTGCAGACTCTGGATTTGGTGGATAATTAATAATTTAAGATCTATACCAGGAACGGTTGCAAAAAATGCAACACTAGGTCCTCTGGCAGGAATCGACCTGCGACCCTGCGACTGTACAGTAATTTGAGTTTGGAATTACATTTATTCATATAGAAACATTCACGTCAGACTTTGGTTGCAGTGTATAGACTGTCTTTAATAGCATGTAAGATGCCATCGTTAAGGATTAACTTCCAGAAAAGTATGGAAAAGATTTTCCATTAGCAAATCAATTCCCCCAATGTCCTTCAATTATCACTATTATCCCAAATTATCCATCGATCATCCCCATTATTCTCATGAACATTCCCCCATGATCCCCTTCCCTATCAATCTGAAATTTTCCCATTCTGAGTAAAGACATTCTTAACAATTTTCTATCATTCACATTTTCTTTCATTTTTAGCAAATGACGTTTCCGGCAGTAACAATATGTAATCTAAACATGTTCAAAAGAAACAGATTACCCGCAGGACTCGAAGATATTTTATTCAATTCATCGCAAGGAATTCAAAATCTTTCCAAAGTTATCAATATAACTCGAAGTAAGTAAGATTCGGTGACAGTGCAGGTAGAGACGATAACAAATAGCTACGTAGACTTGCCACAAGTCGACCATGGGGGAGGGAGGACGCGGGGGAGAGAAGGCGCGACCCGAGCGACGAAGTCGCGAGTGGTCGACTTGTGTCCCTTGCAGGAATTTAAATCGCATTAAAAATTTTGGCGCGAATAATTTTGACATAAAATGGGTGTGTACATTTCATACAATTACTTCACCGCGCCGACAATTGGTCTACAAAAACACAAAAACATTCTCAAGAATTGATATTTCTTTGTCCTCGAATGAAACAGTTTGCACCGAGTGTGGAAACGAAATAACTTACCTAAGTAAGCGCCGAAAGCTGTTCAATGTATCAACAAAAACGAGTGAATGTAAAAACTTATTGAATCTGGACAGTTGTTTGTCTAACAATGTGTGCCGTATTAATTGTGTTGACAGGAATAGTAATTTATTAGATTTATTATAGAAAGTTGATTCAGTTCGCCAGCGATTTAACGTAGTAGAAGTTAATCTAATTAAAAAGAATCAGACAACTGTAACCGAGAAGCAGAGCCAGAGAGGCGGCGATTGTGGTCAACGAGAAGACGTCGCCAGAGTTCAAAATCCGGTAAAAATACGCGTTGTTTTCTCAACAAATGATTTTGTATTAATAATCAGTAATCGAGATCAAGAAACCCAAACTAAACCCGAAACTAGTGAGGAAATTTTAGAATCATTAGATGCATCTTCGGTACGTGACAGTTTATTTCGACATCCTGTACTTTTAAATATACTCAATGTAATGCTTGTTTGTGTATTTTCATATGGTTTTTGTGTTCTACAAAATTGTAATTACATTGTTTGCTTTATTTGCTTCAATAGTACACATTTGCTCAACAAGAAAGCCTGAGAATATAATATTGTAATACAATAATAATATAAACCGCTTCGGCAAATCGGCAATGTAAACAATGACGTCACCGGTGGATTTTTCCACCGGTGATATTTGGCGCGCTGCAAGTGACAAAAGTCCTTTCCACAGAGGAAGCGAAGCGCGCCATAGAAGGGTCTGGAAAGGACTTTGGAAAGTCTAATAGCTACGGTGTGAAGTAGATAAAACTACCTGAAAAATACATAAGCAGAACTTCGACGTTTCGAGCGAACGCCCTTCGTTGGAAAGTTAGTCAAAGTTCTTAAGGCCTGTTTTATACGTCGAATTTCGTTCGTGTCGAATGCAATTTAAAGAATATATGAAGCTTAATGAGGTTCCATTTATCATCTCATTATCTATTGTTTGAATTGCATTCGAAGCGACTAAAATTCGACGTATATAACGTGCCTAAGTTAGTTTAACTAGTAACTTCCAAAGGAGGGTCCTCACTCGAAACGTGGAAGATTTTTCAGTTAGTTGTATATCCTTCACTCTGCATCCGGTAAATTTACATGCTTTCTGCATTATGTTTTAACGGAAATCTTTCATTTTCTAAAACAACTTTTAGTGCTGGACAAACCAGAAAATATTGTTACACCTGAAACGTGCTTTGTATATAGGTTATAGCATGGTTTCGAGTGCAATTTGGATATAACATGCACGAGTGAGTTTTTCAAAGACCTCCGAGTCCGAAGGACGAGTGCTATTTGAGGTCTTTGAAAAATTCACGAGTGCATGTTTATTCAACTTTCACGAGAAACCATGCTATTACTTATTAATAATTTACATAAAAATGTTCGAGACAATTGTAGTTTGAACTTACGCGTTTATAGCGAACATTCCACCGGCAAACTTTTTCTGGCTTTGTTATATCACTGGCCTTTCATTACATTTCATTTCAGGACCGGGATGTTGTGCAACATCCGATATAGTTTGTTATATCACTATATGGATAGGAAGGAGCACTAAGTAGGTGGGAATGTCGGAGGCTCGTGGAAAAGGGGGGTAGTCACTTCCACACGGCAAAAAAATTGTCCATAAGATCGAGGTGGCGAGCTATCGGAAAGCTCGAGAAGAGTAAATGTGGCATTTAATTGAACTCAGTTCCGCAGACAATCTCAAAAATTACTATTCAGCGTATTCGTACGTGATAAAGGAAGACCCGGACTAAGTGATTTCTCCAGGGCTTATAGACCTCCCCAATACTGACGCGTTAGCGAGTACTAGCGCGACCCGCCGAAGCAAGAAAGTTGCACAGGTTTCCAAAAATATGTAACGAAAGGGACTGGCAGTATACGGCGTTGTACGCATTCTACAACACTGACGTTGGTGTTATACGCTAATTATGCTAATAAGCGTTTCCGGACGAGACGAATGCAATGAAACTAACATCGGTTGACACTTCGATTGTCACTATAGAAATATGAAATAACAGGCAACTAGACATCTTTTAAAACAGAACAAGGCTAAGAATAATCTGTTGAGAATGTCTAACAATGTATTTGCTATTAGTGAAAGGGTTTGAAATTGATTAAACCAAGTTTTGGATCGATTGACACTTTTTTACATAAATAAATCTGATATATCATAGTGATATTTCTAGAGTTGAGTGTCAATCGATACATTTTATACAATTTATATACTTTGTGATTAAGTAGAACCCGTAATATATCAATAAGCGCTCCCTAAACACGTTTGCTTAGTACTTAATGTTCTGAAAATGATTATGCCGCGACAATTGAAAGTTATATCAATGAAAATGCTATGTGTTTCAAAGTGACAATCGAGTGTCAATCGAGCACGTGTTCAAGCCGTTTTATATTACATACATGTTTTCATGTCAAATATGCACAATCTTTAAGTGGTCTTCGATAACTTACCCTTGCATTTTATTTAGCATTAACCTAGGTCGATAATTAATCAGATAGATGTGTTTTCTCCCTTGCATATAGACCAGGTTTAATCGCTCGGCATACTACCCTCCCCACACTCACATCTTTCAGTATAAGCTCACTTATAATATACTGCTGGATTGTGTTACATTTCAAAGATATTGACCACAACCGAAGCACAGTAAGGACGTTACATATGCCAATGCAATTCAGTAAACATGTTATACTAAATGCTATATGATTTTCGCGAAACTGATATTCTAAAACACCCGGTAATTCATAGAGGTTAAATATGCCTTTCATTGCCTTTCAGACAATCAGTTTCAAAAGTCTTGGGACAGATGCCACAAAACCTTTGAATTTCAACAAACGTCAATCCCCCCCCGCCCCCTGTTCAATGTTGTGTCCCATTTCTCGTCGGGTTTGATGTGTTTTGGTTGGAGCAACATTGATTGGAGTGTGGGGAGGGGGAAGGGGAGCGGTATTGTGTGTAAATAACTGTAGTGATCCAATTGCAATCTAAAACTACATGTGTCCCAAGAACTTCTGAAAGTGATTGTCTGGGCCCCATATGCCATAACACCATTGTATATCTCAAACGTACAGGGGATAGAATGCTCTGCAAACGAAGTATTTCTGCTCCATTTCGTTCACAGAAGATCTAATATAACATTTTAAAACAATTAAGTTCCATAAAAATTCTCAAAGTTAATAATTAACAGGATATGAATATAACTTGTTATGTCATATAGCATTTTTAATCGTTGTTCGTTTTTACAAATTTCGGCTGAGCACAAGTGGGTTATTTGAGAGGTTATATATAGTCCGTCAATATAAAGATAGGTATCGCGAATGTTTTACGCTAGAGATGTCACACTTACTGTTAATTTATAGCATAGTAATATAACATCCGGTTACTTTCGCATGCGGGTAACGGCTGAGTCAACTGCTAATTCGGGTACTCCGAAGGTAAAGGACGTTTGTTTTATAATCACTTATGGTCAATGTGACATTTTACATCTTTCTAGAGCATAATTTGCATATATAATTGTCGACGCATGGGTAGGAAGGAGCACTAAGTAGGTGGGAATGTCGGAGGCTCATGGAAAGGGGGGTAGTCACTTCCACACGACAAAAAAAAATGTCCACAAGATCGAGGTGGCGAGCTATCGGAAAGCTAGAGAAGAGTAAATGTGGCATTTAATTGAACTCATGCAGTTCCGCAGACAATCCCAAAAATTACTATTCAGCGTATTCGTACGTGGTAAAGGAAGACCCGGACTAGGTGATTTCTCCAGGGCTTATAGACCTCCCAATGCTGACGCGTTACGTTAGCGAGTACTAGCGCGACCCGCCGAAGCAAGAAAGTTGCACAGGCTTCCAAAAATATGTAACGAAAGGGACTCGCAGTATACGGCGTTGTACGCATTATACAACACTGACGTTAGTGTTATACGCTAATTATGCTAATAAGCGTTTCCGGACGAGACGAATGCAATGAAACTAACATCGGTTGACACTTCGATTGTCACTATAGAAATATGAAATAACAGGCAACTAGACATCTTTTAAAACAGAACAAGGCTAAGAATAATCTGTTGAGAATGTCTAACAATGTATTTGCTATTAGTGAAAGGGTTTGAAATTGATTAAACCAAGTTTTGGATCGATTGACACTTTTTTACATAAATAAATCTGATATATCATAGTGATATTTCTAGAGTTGAGTGTCAATCGATACATTTTATACAATTTATATACTTTGTGATTAAGTAGAACCCGTAATATATCAATAAGCGCTCCCTAAACACGTTTGCTTAGTACTTAATGTTCTGAAAATGATTATGCCGCGACAATTGAAAGTTATATCAATGAAAATGCTATGTGTTTCAAAGTGACAATCGAGTGTCAATCGAGCACGTGTTCAAGCCGTTTTATATTACATACATGTTTTCATGTCAAATATGCACAATATTTAAGTGGTCTTCGATAGCTTACCCTTGCATTTTATTTAGCATTAACCTAGGTCGATAATTAATCAGATAGACGTATTTTGTCCCTTGCATATAGACCAGGTTTAATCGCTCGGCATACTACCCTCCCCACACTCACATCTTTCAGTATAAGCTCACTTATAATATACTGCTGGATTGTGTTACATTTCAAAGATATTGACCACAACCGAAGCACAGTAAGGACGTTACATATGCCAATGCAATTCAGTAAACATGTTATACTAAATGCTATATGATTTTCGCGAAACTGATATTCTAAAACACCCGGTAATTCAAAGAGGTTAAATATGCCTTTCATTGCCTTTCAGACAATCAGTTTCAAAAGTCTTGGGACAGATGCCACAAAACCTTTGAATTTCAACAAACGTCAATCCCCCCGCCCCCTGTTCAATGTTGTGTCCCATTTCTCGTCAGGTTTGATGTGTTTTGGTTGGAGCAACATTGATTGGGGTGGGGGAGGGGGAGGGGAGCGGTATTGTGTGTAAAAAACTGTAATGATCCACTTACAATCTAAAACTACATGTGTCCCAACAACTTCTGAAAGTGATTGTCTGGGCCCCATATGCCATAACACCATTGTATATCTCAAACGTACAGGGGATAGAATGCTCTGCGAACGAAGTATTTCTGTTCCATTTCGTTCACAGAAGATCTAATATAACATTTTAAAACAATTAAGTTCCATTAAAATTCTCAAAGTTAATAATTAACAGGATATAAATATAACTTGTTATGTCATATAGCATTTTTAATCGTTGTTGGTTTTTACAAATTTCGGCAGAGCACAAGTGGGTTATTTGAGAGGTTATATATAGTCCGTCAATATAAAGATAGGTATCGCGAATGTTTTACGCTAGAGATGTCACACTTACTGTTAATTTATAGCATAGTAATATAACATCCGGTTACTTTCGCATGCGGGTAACGGCTGAGTCAACTGCTAATTCGGGTACTCCGA